TCAGCCTTCTTTATGGTCCAACTCTCACATCCACACATTACTACGGGAGAAAGCATAGCTTTGATTAGATGGACCTTTGTCAGCAAGTAATGTCTCTGCTTTTTAATATGCTATCTAGGTTGGTCATAGCTTCTCTTTCAAGGAGCAAGCATCTTTTAATTTCATGACTGCAGTCACCATCTGCAATGATTTTGGAGCCCAAGAAAATAGTCTGTCACTGTTTCCATTGTTTCCCCATCTATCGGCCATGAAGTGATGGGACCAGATGCCATGATCTTCATTTTTTGAATGTTGAGTTTTAAGCCATATTTTTCACTCTCCTCTTTCACCTTCATCAAGAGGCACTTTAGTTCCTCTTTGCTTTCTGTCATAAGGGTGGTGTCACCTGCATGTCTGAGGTTATTTGTATTTCTCCCAGAAATCTTGATTCCAGCTTGTGCTTCATCCAGTGTGGAATTTTGCATGATGCACTCTGCATGTAAGTTTAATAAGCAGGGTGACAACACACTGCCTTGATGTACTCCTTTCCCAATTTGGAACCAGTCTGTTGTTCAACGTCTGGTTCTAACTGTTACTTCTTAACCTATATACAGGTTTCTCGGGAGCAGGTAAGGTGGTCTGGTATTCCCATCTCTTTAAGAATTTTCCACAGTTTGTTGTGATCCACACAGTCAAAGGCTTTGGCGCAGTCAATGAAGCAGATGTTTTTCTGGAATTCTCTTGCTTTTTCCATGATCTAGAAGATGTTGGCAATTTGATCTCTGGTTCCTCTGCCTTTTCTAAACCCATATTGTACATCTGGAAGTTCTCAGTTCACATACTGCTGAAGCCTAACTCAGATATTTTGAGCATTGCTTTGCCAGAATGTAAAATCAGGGCAACTGTGTGGTAGCTTGAATATTCTTTGGCATTACCTTTCTTTGTTATTGGAATGAAAACTGACCTTTTCTAGTCCTGTGGCCACTGCTGAGTTTCCCAGTTTGCTGGCATATTGAATGAAGCACTTTAACAGCATTATTTTAGGATTTTCAATAGTTCAGCTGGAATTCCATCACCTCCACTAGCTTTATTCATGATGATGCTTCCTAAGGCCCACTTGACTTCACATTCCAGGATGTCTGGCTCTAGGTGAGTGATCACACCATTGTGATTATCTGGGTCATGAAGATCTTTTTTGTATATCCTGTATTCTTGCCATCTCTTCTTAATATCTGCTTCTGTTAGGTGTGTACTGTTTGTGTCCTTTATTCTGCCCATCTTTGCATGAAATGTTCCCTTGGTATCTCTAATTTTCTTGAAGAGATCTCCAGTCTTTCCTATTACATTGTTTTCCTCTATTTCTTTGCATTGTTCACTGAGGAAGGCTTTATCTCTCCTTGCTATTCTCTGGAACTCTGTGTTCAGATGGGTATATCTTTCCTTTTACTCTTCGCCTTTTACTTCTCTTCTTTTTTTTAGCTATTTGTAAGACCTACTCAGACAACCATTTTGCCTTCTTGCATTTCTTTTTCTTTGGGACAGTTTTGATCACCGCCTCCTGTACAGTGTTATGAATCTCAGTCCATAGTTCTTCAGGCACTCTGTCTATCAGATCTAATCCCTTGAATCTATTTCTCACTTCCATTGTATAATCATAAGGGATTTGATTTTGTTCATACCTCAATGGCCTAGTGGTTTTCCCTACTTTCTTCAATTTAAGTCTGTAATTTTCATTAAGGAGTTCATGATCTGAGCCACAGTCAGCTCCAGTTCTTATTTCTGCTGACTGTATAGAGCTTCTGCATCTTCAGCTGCAAAGAATGTAATCAACCAAATTTTGGTTTTTGACCATCTGGTGATGTCCTTGTGTAGTCTCTTGTGTTGTTGGAAGAGGGTGTTTTCTATGACCAGTGTGTTCTCTTGGGAATAGTCTGTTAGCCTTTGCCCTGCTTCATTTTGTACTCCAAGGCTAAACTGGCTCTTTATTTTAGGTATCACTTGATTTCCTACTTTTGCATTCCAGTCCCCTATGATGAAAAGGACATCTTTTTTTTTTTTTTTTTTTTGGTGTTAGTTCTAGAAGGTCTTGTAGTTCTTCATAGAGCCATTCAACTTCAGATTCTTCAGCATTAGTGGTTGCATTACTGTGATATTGAATGGTTTGCCTTGGAAATGAACAGAGATCATTCTGTTGTTTTTCAGATTTCATTCAAGTACTGCATTTCAGACTCTCTTGTTGACTATGAGGGCTATTCCATTTCTTCTAAGAGATTCTTGCCCACAGTAGTAGATATAATGGTCATCTGAATTAAATTCACCCATTCCCATCTATTTTAGTTCACTGATTCCTAAAATGTAGATGTTTACTCTTGCCATCTCCTGTTTGACCACTTCCAATTTACCTTGATTCATGGACGTAACATTCTAGGTTCTTATGCAATACTGTTGTCAGTTTTAATGAGGTTCCAGACAATGATGGACAGCCTAAAACTGAGACTCATCATTGAATTAAATGAATGCAGAACTCTTTGGGATTGCTTTGTCTGTGATGTAAAGAGGCCTTGGAGACTTGAGTTGTTCACTTGCATGATGAAAGAAGTAACCAAACTGAGTGAGGCACTTTGGTACTCTGTGGGCTGCATCACTATAAAGCCCCTTCTTAAGTGTGACCTGACAGCAGGAAGTTTGCTCAAGGTGGAGGGAGAAAGGGAAGAGGATAGGCAAACACTGAGACCCTCTCCTTCCTCAGCTGGGTACTATTCATACTCCGGCAGCTTTCAGCCTGAACCTGTCACTAAAATCATGTTTGGACCACCACTTGCAGAGTCTATAGCAGCCCTGTTAACCATGCTATAGTAATGAATAAGAACAGTAGATAAGCTTGTTAACCAGGCCAGGTTTCTAGATTTATTTCTGCTATTTCTGCTGGTTATTGAGCTAAACCAAACTTCCTTATAAGGTCAGGTGATAATGTTCTGCAACAAAATCCAGAACTTAACTGACCTACTTTAAGACACAGAGAAAACACCTTCTGCTCAAATGGTATAGAATAGCTAAGACAGCAATATAAAATGGTAACCATGTGCTTTCTCCTGGATGATGCTTCTAGAGAAACTCTCTGAGTCTGGATACCCAAAGAGGAGGTAGATGACTAGGTATTAGGCCATAAGGGCCATAAAATACAGCCTTATTAGAGTCTGCATGTTTAACAACTGCTATGATGAATTGAAATTATTCCCTCTGGCTCTCCCTGTGAATATGGAGATGAATAGGTGAGCCCCTCTAATATTTAGCAACAAACAAGACAAAACTGCAGATCAGATCTCAGGATCTCCAGTAGGGACCAGAGGTTGTATCCCAAGGTCAGAGTTGAATGTGGAGGTAGGAAAGAGTTACATTTCTGGGACTTTCAGATACCGGTACAGAGATGGCTGTGACCCTCAAACCCCAGCACCAGAATGAGGGGAAAAAACAATGTCTCTGATTTTGGATCTGAGGTCATTACCAGTGGGACCCTTACCTAGATCCAGCTATGGATGGGTCTCTTTGGCCAACTCCAAACTCCAACAAAAACTTCTTAGGGCAATTCACTATTGAATTTATCAGTGATATAGATGTACTACCTAAGTGAACACCTGCTCACATTTGCCCATAAGCCCGAAGAAGACTGCTCCAGCTGGCACCATTTTAGTGGGCATATGGAAGACCATAAACCTCCCTGACTAGCAGCCCCTAGTGCTGTTGTTTCTCAGAAACAGCAGCAACTACCTAGAATAAAAAAGCAAAAAGCAATGCCTTCACTGCTGAGTTCAAGAATAACAAGGCCCTTCATGAGACTAATTCTCACTCAATAGCCTCATCTAACCTGTGCACATGGCCTTAGGGGCATGGAGTCTCGATGACTATTAGCAGCTCAACGCTGTAGTAAAACTCTAAGCACTGGCAGTACCTGACTTTGACACTGCCCCAGAAGCTACTGCCCAAGAGAAAGTAACTTGGTATATAAAAACGGACATCTCAAACTCCCTTTTCAGCATCGCTGTCCATGTGGATAATCAGGATCAGTTTAATTTTATGTGTAATGGCTTGCAATATACCACTAATGTCCATCCAAAAGTCTACCTAAATTCCCCTACTATCTGTCATCACATATGATGAGGCCAAGAAAAATTCAAGCTACTGGAAGGAACATTAGCCTTCCACTATGTTGAAGACGTCTTCCTGGTGGCCCCAGACAAGGACACTACCCAATGATGACTGGTCATTCCGTGGACTCACATGAGGCAACATGATGAGCCATTAATATAGATGAGGCACCATGACCCATCACCCAAGTGAAATTCCTAGGCACCATCTGGAAAAAGCAACAATATCCTATCAAGACTGACAATATCTGGTCCTCTTAACTTCCCCAAATAAAAAGAGTTCCAACAACTGGTGGTAGTTTTCTGGTATTGGCACTTTCCAAACAGGGAACTTGATGGCACCTACCTATGAGGTCACCAACAACACCTCACCTTTGTGTGGCCCAACTAATAGAACACCCTGTTGGGGGTCTCCATCAAGCCTCCAGGCTGCCCTTCCCCTAAGCCTCTCTGATTTCTATTTGCTGTTTTAGTTACAGATCTCAAAAACTTCCCAGTTTGTCATTTGGAGCCTAGGTAGAATGACACTGCTACTGGTCAGAAGTGCTCACTGGGCAGAATTTCCTGGAACCTGTAATCTCCCAGAGTCATCTAAAACGTATACACAATTGGAGATATGACTGGACAGTTACTGAGCTTAGTGGATACTGAGTGCATGCTTTATGACTGTGAAATAATCTTATGGCAAAGAAATTACAGTCCGAAGGTATTAACACTTTGGATCTTGTTCTCTAGTTATCTTTGGGTATTCACAGTTTAGGTCATTTATTTTTACTTCTATAAAATATACACTCAAATACATATTCATAAGCCAAAGAAAAATGATTATCTGATGAGTTTAAAATAATTTAAAGTTACCATAATTATTATACTTACTCTGACTCCTTTCCCTTCTGTAATTTATTTGGTTCTCTACTTGCGTTTGGAGTTTTGACACTGGATATTGATCAAAAACCATAAGATTTTTATCTGGTACTCCAATATGAGCTACAAAAAGAGATATATTTAGTTCATTAAATGGAAAAACAGATCAATCATGAAATCTCTAGATTTCAAATTTACAGCACGTGTACAGTAGCATCGGAGAAGGCAATGGCATCCCACTCCAGTACTCTTGCCTGGAAAATCCCATGGATGGAGGAGCCTGGTAGGCTGCAGTCCATGGGGTTGCAAAGAGTCAGACACGACTGAGCAACTTCACTTTCACTTTTCACTTTCATGCATTGGAGAAGGAAATGGCAACCCACTCCAGTGTTCTTGCCTGGAGAATCCCAGGCATGGCGAAGCCTGGTGGGCTGCCATCTATGGGGTCGCACAGAGTCGGACACGACTGAAGAGACTTAGCAGCAGCAGAAGCAGTACAGTAGCATTTTCTCTCATTTTTAAAGTTATCAGTAAATTGTCATAATGATCTTATATGCAAATAAGAAAAGTTTTAATGGATGCTACTGAAAATGTCTCATTATTTCAAAGATATTATGAGACATCAAAATATATTTCATATTAATCTCTACTTTGGGGGCATGTATATACTAGGTAAATACATAATAGTAGATAAAACAATAAAAATACATATGCACAAGGTTATTCATTATAGTATTATCTGTAATTGCAAGATATTTTATTTCCTGAACAGCTAAATGTTCAAGAAAGATATTGGTTAAATGCTGTACTAAGTCACTTGTGTCCAATTCTTTGCAACCCTATGGACTGTAGCCCACCAGGCTCCTCTGTCCATGGGGATTCTCCAGGCAAGAATATTGGTTGCCATGTCCTCCTCCAGAGGATCTTCCCAACCCAGGGATCAAACCTGCAGCTCTTATGTCTCCTGCACTGGCAGGCAGGTTCTTTACCACTAATGCCACCTGGGAAGCCCCTTATTGGTTGAATAAACAAAGGCATATACAATTAATTATGGTATAGTATAAACTGTGGTAAATAATGTGGTACTATTTTACATATTTATGTAAAAATAATAAAATATTTTTATAAACTACATGGAGGGATTTCTAGGAGATAATGTCAAGTGGAAAAAAATTTTAAAGTATATGTAGTATGCTAACTTTTGGTTCAGAAAGAAGTAATCAGAAAAATGAAAAATTATATTAACTTTACAAGATGAAGCACAGAAAAGATAAGCATAAGAATAAAGGGAGGAGGAGGAGCTAAGATGGTGGAGGAATAGGACGGGGAGACCACTTTTTCCCCTACAAATTCATCAAAAGAACATTTGAATGCTGAGCAAACTCCACAAAACAACTTCTGGTCGCTAGCAGAGGACATCAGGCACCCAGAAAAGCAGCCCATTGTCTTTGAAAGGAGGTAGGACAAAATATAAAAGATAAAAAGAGAGACAAAAGAGTTAGGGACGGAAACCCACCCCGGGAAGGGAGTCCTAATAGAGGAAGTTTCCAAACACCAGGAAACTCTCTCACTGGCAGGTCCAGGGGAAGTTCTCGAATCTCGGAGGGCAACCTAACCAGGAGGAAAAATAAATAAAATCCACAGATTACATGCCTAAAAGCAACTCCCAGCAGAAAAGTACCCCAGATGCTCACATCTGCCACCAGCAAGTGGGGGCTGAACGGAGAGGAGGGGGCAGCATTGCTTAGGGTAAGGACTGGGCCTAAATGCCCTGAGGGCAATCGGAGGGAGCTAATGTGAGATAGCAACTTAAACTGTAGGATAGCAAGACAGAGAGAGAAAAACCTATGAAAAGCCCTAACCGAAGACACTGCCAGCCCGTTCGCAGAATGAAGGAAGGACTGAGCAATTCCAGAGAAGAGCGAACCGGCTTCAGACTGGCCCATCCCCCGCTGGAGGCAGGAGGCAGCGGGGAGGGGAAAGGGACAAACTCGGCCCCAGACACGGCATCCCCTACCAAACTGCAAACAGGCTTCCAGTTTCTAACCAAAGACTTCCTGAGATTCTGGATGGTTGACATCCACAGGGAGGGTCGCAGCTAGAGACCAGCTACCCAGAAGAGACACAAGGCGCACAGAACCGGTGCACGCGGAAACTGAGGCTGGGACCACGGAGGGGATAAGGTGCGCTGCACCTGGGGAGAGTGTGCTCATCAAGCTCCTGGCTGCCTGAGTTCCTCCGGCCGGGGAAGGCACAAAATGCAGGCCCAACCGAGTCTGTGTCTTTGTGGAGTACCCGAAAACCTGAACCTGAGTGGCTTAACCTGGGAAGTGCATGCAACTCAGGGCCTGCTCCCTGTAGAGCAACCTGGAGCCTGAGCAGTGTAGATGGGGAAAGCACACACACCACAAGCGGGGGCAAACCCAGTGTGGCTGGAACACTGCGAGTTTTCCCCACACACACCAGTGATATTTGTCTGCAGTGCCCCTCCCTCCCCACAGCACGACTGAACAAGCGAACCTAAACAAGAGACCACCTCCGACCACTTGTGTCAGGGTGGAAATTAGACACTGAAGAGACCTGCAAACAGAAGCCAAATAAACAAAGGGAACCACTTTAGAAGTGACAGGTGCAACAGATTAAAATCCCTGTAGTTAACACCGACTACACCGGAAGGGGCCTATAGATATTGAGAAGTGTAAGCTGGAACAAGGAGCTATCTGAAACTGAACCGAACCCACACTGCCCGCAACAGCGTGAGAAATTCCTAGATATATTTTTACTGTTATTATTTTTTATTAAAAATTTTTTAAATTTTTTAAAAGTCCTCTATTACTCCTCTATTACACCTTAATTTTCATTTTAATAACCCACTATAACCTTGCAAAAAAAAAGACCCTATTTTTAAAGCAAACTTCATACATATTTCTTAAATTTTTTGTGTTTTTGTTTTTGTTTGTAATATTGTGTTTTTAAGAGTCTAGCCTCTACTCTAGATTTTTAATCTTTGTTTTTCAGTATTTGATATCAATTTTGGACATTTAAGAATCCAATATTCAATACCCAGTTTTACTCAGGAGTGTGATGATTACTCTCTCCCCTTTTGACTCTCCTTTTTCTCCCCCAGATCACCTCTATTTCCTCCCTCCCCCTTCTCTTCCCAATCCAATTCTGTGAATCTCTGTGGGTATTCTGGGCTATGGAGAACACTTAGGGAACAGAGTACTGCGTAGATCTGTCTCTCTCCTCTTGAGTCCCCCCTTTTTCTCCTCCTGCTCATCTCTACCTCCTTCCTCCCTCTCCTCTTCTTCATGTAACTCTGTGAAACTCTCTGGGTGTCCCTCACAGTGGAGAATCTTTTCACCATTAACCTAGAAGTTTTATTATCAGTGCTGTATAGTTGGAGAAGTCTTGAGGCTACTGGAAGAATAAGACTGAAATCCAGAGGCAGGAGACTTACGCCCAAAACTTGAGAACACCAGAGAACTCCTGACTACACGGAACATTAAGTAATAAGAGATCATCCAAAAGCCTCCATACCTACACTGAAACCAACCACCACCCAAGAACCAATAAGTTTCAGAGCAAGACATACCAAACAAATTCGCCAGCACCACAGGAACATAGCCCTGAGCGTCAACATACAGGCTTCCCAAAGTCACACCAAACACATAGACCCATCTCAAAACTCACTACTGGACACTCCATTGCACTCCAGAGAGAAAAAATCAAGCTCCGTGCACCAGAACACCGACCAGAACACCAACACAAGCTTCCCTAACCAGGAAACCTTGACAACTCAATCATCCAACCCCACCCACTGGGAGAAACCTCCACAATAAAAAGGAACCACAGACCACCAGCTTACAGAAAGAAAGGCCACCCCAAACACAGCAATCTAAATAAGATGAAAGGCAGAGAAATACCCAGGAGGTAAAGGAACATGAAAAATGCCCACCAAGACAAACAAAAGAGGAGGAGATAGGGAATCTACCTGAAAAAGAATTTAGAATAATGATAATAAAAATGATCCAAAATCTTGAAAACAAAATGGAGTTATAGATAAATAGCCTGGAGGCAAGGACTGAGAAGATGCAAGAAATGTTTAACAAGGACCTAGAAGAAATAAAAAAGAGTCAATTAAAAATGAATAATGCAGTAAATGAGATAAAAAACACTCTGGAGGGAACCAACAGTAGAATAAAGGAGGCAGAAAATAAGTGAGGTAGAAGATAAAATGGTGGAAATAAATGAAGCAGAGAGGAAAAAAGAAAAAAGAATCAAAAGAAATGAGGACAACCTCAGAGACCTCTGGGACAATGTGAAATGCCCCAACATTTGAATCATAGGAGTCCCAGAAGAAGAAGACAAAAAGAAAGGCCATGAGAAAATACTCGAGGAGATAATAGCTGAAAACTT